TGTAAATTTTTCCCTCATTCGAGTTATAAATTTTGCCACCAGATGGTGTATGCCCATTTGACGGATCCCAATAATAGCAATATTTTAGAATATTTAATTCAATCGCAAAAATTTTTCGTATCACAATACCTACCTAAATTTGAGTATTTCTGAAAGCTTCGGATAAAACTCGTCGTCTATGTGATACGCGTTGAATACGAAAATATGTACATTCACATGAAAGTGCACACACAAGGCAGGTACTTATAAAAGGATAAAAGCCGGCAGGATACTGGGTAGGTTGCAAGCTGACTGGATAGGTAAGTTCCACATCAAGTCCACATTTAAGGAAAGATATAACGCATTCGTTTAACGACGCCATGGAGTGCATTATGCAATCCACATTCCGTGCATGAATACTAAATTGAAAGAACCGCCCGCGAGCGTCTCGGAAAATAAAATCAAAATAATGGAGATGTAGGTAGTTTGTCGTTTACTTAGACGGAGAAAATCGAATTACTACTGAGGGAGAGAGCGACGTACGGGTGAATTATTGTCTCGACTCCCCTACGACAACAGCGAATGGCTGACGAAAGCTAATATCAAAAGAATTGGCAGTAAGAAACGAACGCACTTCAACATTTTTCCACAAGTACCAATCCAAGTTAAAAATCTACCTTACGAAAATAAAAATTGCATGAATACTTATGAATTAAAAATTAAAAACCGATGTAAAATTTATATTTCCCCATGCTTTCTACAAGAATAAAATTTATTAGTGCCATTTAGAATAATTATAAGGTCTGTGATGTGTTGCTAACCATCATCGATTAAAGAGATCTATTTTCTATCAAAACTCTATGAAATTGACATTGACCCTAAGTGAAGCTTACGTTGATCAATTTACCATATCTAAAAGGCCCGATATACTAAATTTCATTGAAATAGATAAAATCGATTACATGTATATGAATAGGGTAAAAGCCGGATAGTCACCCCGCTTTTCAAAAGAGCTCTATTATGAAAAAATATGTACTTCCAAAGAACAATGCAACATGTCCATGAACCATCAGACGTGAATCACGACTTCTAATTCTTTGGTCTCATCATCACACCATTGACAGTTCCGTCAGAACGCCTACCAATTTACTTTCTGTCAGTTTCGACAGATCACTAATCAAAAACATATTTTCCTGTTGGCAAATCCAGCCTTACCGTACGATTCTCAAAGTTACTACCAACTATAGGAATCAAATCAAGAACTACAAAAATATTGTGCTACTTCAAGTATATACCGGTTCTTTGTCACTGTTTCTTGAATACTGCTTGGAAAAATTCCACTTCCTCTTTTTTTCTCTAAATAGTTTATCAAATCTAGTAGCATAATTTTTGCTTGGCAATGCAAAAATCAAGAAGATTTGTTCATTTTTTACTTCAAATTGTTATAGTCATAAAACTGACATCTGTCAACCAAAACTTTTTAAAACCACTGAAAATTATAAATCTATCTCCTTTTCTTATGTCGAAACTATACGTCTATAAAATATTCATGTTTCAAAAGAGGCTAATGAATTTTCATTGTTATCATTTATTGTATGAATGAAGTGTAGGTAATTTAAATTATAAAAGTACCTATTTTGTGTCGTCGTTTTACGCTGCCAATGTGACAACTATCACATAATCGCTAGACAAACAGACAGAAAAATCTTTGATCGAGAAACATTATCAACATTTTTACAGTAAAATGTAATTGATATAAATCAGCATGTACCAATGCTTGTGATAATAAGATTGATAAGAGATAATAGGTAATCCTTTCGCGTAATCCATTACTGTATATGGTATGCACAAAAAAAAACATTTGCGTATGTCATTTATCGCCCCCTCCCGATCACACTCTAGTGGAAAGCCTAAAGGCTGTCTCCAGCCTCCTTTTAAGATTCATGTACGGGTGTTCGTTGGGGAGACAGTGTGGAATACTTTAGACCACTAACAAATCACGCCACATGACATGAACACCCATTGCCTCCTAATAGGGACGCAAAAACGGGGGCAAAGTCCAATTGACACCTTAGGAGTGGGTATCCTCTCCCAGAGTGTCCACAAAAATGTCTCATTTATATAAAATTGAACTAGTTAACATCCCCAACTACTGGACGCTGTTATTACAGTTACTCCAATCCAATTCTGAACAGCGAGCTTTTTCTGTTTGTATCTGTTAATATCGTAAACACTTGAACTTTGAGTATGTTGTTGTAGTATTCGTCATGCTGATCAAGAATGTATGTATATATAGATATGTTGGGCGCGGAAACTACGTCTTCGCCTACTTTTTCGGCTTTGAAAAATTAATTAAAAACTACGATGAAGTGTTATTGGTATCTCACAATTTATTCAAGTAAGGTTTGATTAGGGGGGAAGGGGTGTATTAAAAATACGTAGAATGTTTAAATAACCCCCTCTCGCTCCCATATTCGACGTTCTGGATTGGATTGAGGGGTGAGGGTGTTATATAGGTTGTCATCCCACAAGTATGTCATGTAAGATTAGTCGAGAGTGAGAGGGGAAGGACGCCGGGATTGTTTAAACTTTGAACATATTTTTAACAACTCCCTCATGCCCCCTAACCTAATCTTACTTACTAGCATATTTTCAACCATTTTGTAATTTTCATAGAAAAGACCGCAGTATTTTTACCTTAGTAAAGTTACCATTAACTAGTTCTTTCCAAAACTGGATTTATAGGACTCATATAGGTACATGTTAAGACTTTATCGTTTCTACCTGTGGTACTAACCCCGCAGTGGCACAGCTACATCATGACATTAAACAGTTAGGTTTTTCCTTGAAATATCGGTACGATTATTATGTAGTACATACCTATACCTGCGTACAGACTAACCGGGGGAAATTTGTGGTTAGTGGCCGAGTTGTGTTTAATTGTAAGACACAAAATATTATTAAAACATTATTTTAAAAAAAAAAATTTTAGAATTCAATTTTTTTTTAGTTATGTTCTCCAATGCTTATTTTGTAATTTCTTTTTCTAATTTTTCACACAATTATATACTCATTCATGTACCTACCTACGTATACAGACGACATCATTCACTACTTCACTACGGAAATGGAAAAAGTAAAAAAGGAAGACTTTTATATACCTACCTACTAGTGTTTGGTGTTGTGTGTTTTGTATATTACTGTACATATTTCTTAAGTAGTGTTTCTGAATATTTTATTTTATTAGGTCTATAGTGTAGGATAAATTCAAAGTAGTTGTTAAGTAAACATCTGCGATCAACCATAAATTTATGATATTGGCGGAAATACCGAATTTATTGGGGTTCGGTATTTCACCGAAGACAAGACCAGTAAGGTCAATTACCTACCTCAAGAGATGCCTGTTTTGGGCGTGTCGCTTTCTTCAGTACCTATTATAAATATTGAAATTTGAAAACATGAAAAGCATTCGATTCATTCAATTCATATCCAACCATCAATTCGATTCATATTCATCAACTCAACAATTCAAACAATTCTATACCAATAAAACCCAATATATGTACAACAACCAAATTGATTATACAATTTATCAATGCAAGTGTTTATCGATAGTTTAATATTAAATTAAGTGTACTATAGTGTAAATAAAAAACAATTAGTAAGGAGAATACAGTTCATTTCATTCGAAGTGGTAATAACCAAAAGAAACGAAAGGTGGGATACCGCCACATCCGACAACTAGTATTGCAACAAACCTCTGTTTCCGCTTCCGCAATTACAGAAGTTCTGCCTAATTTTTCACGTCTACTTCTGCATTTTCATAACAAAAACTTACCGGAACAAAATCTTATTTCTCATCTTTCTGAAAATCAATATACCGCAACAATAAAACAAGTCATAAAAATTTATTTTATTCAGTTGTTGGCTAAACTTGACCGCATGATGCATGTGGGGCAGCTACCTGTCCCAGTTTTCAGCGACTCCACTGTAAACGTTATTAATTTAAGACATTGTTCTATTAATTACTAATAGTGGTCAATGTTAATATGCAACATCAACTTAAAATCACTTTTCGATTTTGAACCACTACAAATTTCCTCAAATTAATGAGGAAAATTGTTTTTGCTCTGACCAACAGAGCAATGGTGCGTAAAGCCAAAGGTCCCGGGTTCTATTCCCGGCGGGGGGTGACAACAGCAACAAAAAAACTTATTTTCCTCATTACTTTGAGGAAATTTGTAGTGGTTCAAAATCGAAAAGTGATTTCAAGTTGATGTTGGTTATTAATTTATCAAACTTTTTTCCTAGTATTTCGCATGTTGATAATTTCCACATTTTATTCTCTTATTGCTTCCTTATTTTAATTTAAAAACGTCTTGGACTTCCAGCTTCCCTTTAACAGTCCTAATAATTTCATTTCGAATATAGTAACACAATTATAGAATGTAATTTTTTTGTATAGGGTCTGGTCGGTGTTGTGTTATACGTTAAAAGTGCAATTTTGAGGCCAATAGGGTGTCCTATTTGTAATTATTTTGTTGTTATTAACGATGGGGGTGCCAAATGTAAAATCTGTACAATCTTCGCAAAAATGGCGCACGACGACTGTATTAAAGAGTCATTAAAATTATTGCAAAATTCCGCGAAAATTTACTATTTACTTCTGTTTTCGTTATGACACTTTCATTGCATTACTAATACCTACCATTTAACATCCACCATTAGAGAAGATTTTCAAGGAAAATTGTATTAATTTATCATTTGAAGTTTCCATTTACTTGTAACAACCACCGGTTACAACGACTTAATTGTAGTAGTTGTTACAACTGGACCACAATGCAGTTTACGTTTGATTGTACTATGCAATCGCAATCTGATAAACCTCTAAAATAATTAATGAACTTCTGTAGAATTAGTTAGAGTCTTAAATAACAGATTAGTTTTCGATAAATAAAGTTGTCACTGACAATCTCTGTTATCAAAACTCAAGTATGTATTTAAGATATTAATAAAAGTTATAAACCAAATTCACTGATTAAAAACTTAGTTCCAAATGAAAAACCACGAACTTATTAAAAAGTTGCTCGAGTTATAACGAAAACTAAAAAGTGACACTAGAACAAGTAGGTATGTAAAAACAATCGGTACCTAATCTAATTTCTGTGATACGTTCAGTTTAGTTTTACTGTTTTTCATTATATAGTAAAATGTGAGTTATGTTGCAAAATATTACAGTAAGATAAACTTATATTTGAACAAATTGTAAATTAAATTTTAAATTGGTTTGGTATCTCTTAATAAAATTATTGCAACATTTATCTAAAAAAAATTTAATAGGATTAATACAATAATTAAACTTTATTTTTCTTTAGCAAGATAGCATATAACCTAGTTTTAAACTTTACACTCATGACGTCAGAACTGAATCTACATACCTGGACGTGCCTGATATGGCAAAAAATCGTATGCGTTCAATAAAAAAAAATATAAATATTCATAAATAATTTATTAGACGATTAAAACTGCAACAAATGTACTTATCTTACTGTAATAAATTCTTTCGTCTAAAGTAATATTTTATAAACATAAAAACGTATATTACACACTACGTAATCACATATTCTGTATAAGTTGTTGTAATTTGTCACGAATTATTTTCTAGTTTGCTTATTTAACGAACGCACAGAAAGCACACCTTTTGTGATACGACTAGACAGACGTATTTACTTTCTTACTTTCCACGTAGATTTTGTTTGTGTAAATATAATAAAAGAATCACTGCTTTTTTTTTTAATTCGTTACGTTATAAATTTCAGTCGTAATATAATTTTATCTATCATCACATAAGATAAAAGAAGATGGACCCCATTTTACTAATACTGGCACTAGTAGTTATTGGGATTATATATTTCCTAAAAGAAGACCCAACACAAAAAGAAATAGCCGAAGCGGTTGAACGTTTTCCTGGACCTAAACGCTACCCCATTGTAGGAACAAATTTTAGCTTTTTACTCAAACCAAAAGAAGGTATTACTAATGATTAGATTACTAATATAATAAATATTGAATACTTTTTACATCATAAAGTTGAATATGTTTATAAAAGGTGTATGTTTCAGAAATATTTCTGTTAATCGCAGAAAGGGTTAAAAAATTTGGATCTCCCCATAAGGCATGGATGGGAAAATTGCCAATGATAAATTTGAACACTCCAGAAGATGTAGAGGTAACAATATAATTAATATCGGAATAATTTGTTATTCAGAAGAAGAAATTATTTAAGGAGGTTAACACTAGAGAGATAAACAAATTAATCTGCATTCTGATAAAAACAGATTAGACTTTTAAAGTGATGTTACAAAAAGGGCATGATGAAAATTTTATTCATTTATATATAAAGATATCTGTAAATTTTCGGAGGGTCGGGCACCGCATTTTTTAATTAAAAATTGATGTGTGAAATCCATGAGCGTCCGTATGTAAAAGTGAGACAGAATACCATTTGACAGCATCACGACATTTCCCACACATACACTTATAGATACAGATTTAAGATGCGCCTTTCTGTGTCAACCACCTTAAATAAGTCAAAATTTAATTAAGGGTAATATGTTATTATTTTTTCAGCTTATATTAAATAATTCTGTTCAAATCAAAAAAGGATATTTGTACAAGTTCATTCAACCATGGCTTTTAGATGGTCTTCTTACCAGCTACGGTACGTTAATTTTATTCTATCAGTGAATTTCTCAAAGATTAGATGAACTGTTTCGTAATAAATTTATCTATCAGAAAACAAAACTTTTCTGTTAATGAACTATCGCGATATCTTTGGATCTCATATTCACTACCACAAGATAAGGAGTTCAATCTCTGTATATAATACATAATTGTTTTATGAATCATTACAAACGGCGTGGTAAACGCCATCTGTAGTATCTACATCGCTACCTTTAGTGGAATTCAAATATCTTAATAAAGGTGTATTAGGATATATCACCTTGTCAACCTAAATTCACAGCGTACCTAACCGTACATAATAGGTATGTAACCAAAAAGAACAAAAAGTGCATATGGTGGTCAGTAAGTTGTAGAGAAAATTTAATAAAATATAAGGAGCGCTGCAATCGCTGTGAATTCAAGGTTACCAATTTTACTTGAAATTTATTCGTTTGTTTCTGCAGTAACCATAGCAATGTGACCTTGAATTCATAGCGGCCACAGCGCTCTCATGAATTTTCTTAACATTTTTCACAAACTATTACAAATGAAGATTAGACTCCTTACTTCTAGGTTTAATGAAAACGGCTAAAAGAGTTCCAATTTACTTGGCGCCTTTAAATAGCTTTTACCGCATAATTACAAACGATGTGGTGAACGCCACCTGTAGAAATTCGCTATTAATTGTGAATTCATTGTAGATTGCTACGCTGTGGATTCCGTTCGTCTTGTCGATACCTACCCTTAATAATAAAAGGACTTGTCAAACATTAGAAAACAGTTAGTAGCAAATTTCTACAAATATTGTTCAACATTCCGTCTGTGATTATTAGATTTTCATAGATAGATAATTCAGTAGAGTGATTCTTGAAAATCCATTTTCAATCAATATCTACTATAAGAGAGGAAACTGCACTTTTCTTAATCTTTCTGTCATCTGATACAGCTTTACGAAACTAAGAGAAAAAGTTTTATATTTTCCGTCGCGTATAATCCGAATTAAAACTTTGCAATTTTACATATCGCAAGTTTCTAATCAGTTCTGCATTTTCAGGGGCTTATTGGCACAAGAATAGAAAGTTGATCACTCCCACGTTTCACTTCAGTATTTTAGAGCAATTTGTGGAAATTTTCGACGAAAAAAGTCGCATACTAGTATCAAAACTTATGCCACAAGCTAATGGACAAGTTTTTAACGTTTATCCTAATATAACCCATTGCGCCTTAGATATTATATGTGGTAAGTAAATTATTGTGTATTATAAGATTGTTTCCAAAGTTCATTGACTTTCCTTATGAAGTTTAATACTATCAAAAATAAGTTTTTTTAGTTAAGTGTTAGGTACTTATAACTTACTATCTAACTATAACCAAGGACAGATCTAAAATTTAAAAGGGCCTCAAAAATTACGTTTATCAACCTGCGATTATTGATCGATAACGATCGAAATGAAATTTTCAAAGATTTCTAAAATTACTCACACCCTCTTTGCTATTGTATAATAAACTATTTTCATTACTCGTTATTTATGTATACAGGGTGTAATAGAAATAAGTGTCGAGTTTCGGAGGGTGTAAACTAGTTGCAATAAACAATCGTACGGTGAGTTCAGCAGCGTGGTTAATGGCAAAAAAAAATTTTTTAAGATCACAAAAATTTACAATCCAAATCCGGCTCTGTGCATGAATCGACAACATAGGTATATTTCGTTTACTTTCTGTAGCGATGTGACCTTCAGGTTGACCGGCGCAAAGTAGAAAAGAACAGCACTAGGCCAGAAAAGGAAGGAGACAACTCTCGGTCAAACTCTTAACCAGTGAGGAGCGTATAATCCGTAGACTACTGCACGGAAAAATTCACCATTTCATCCACTACAATTGCATTGCTCAAATGTGTTGTTTTTTGGTACCATTTACTACTGAAAATATCAAGGAGATGTTTATTTATATTTGAAGACATATTAAGGGCTTTAACGCTTGTTTTCGACTAGCACTACTATTCATGATTGAACAAAACTTTTGGCAGGTACTGTATGAAAAAGTATGTTTAATGAACAAGAGTCGAGAGTATAATGAGCTTTTTTCTCTCTACCTACGATTTTGCCAGCGCGCATCCACGCCATTGGAAGGGGCACATCGCTAGTGAAAGTAAATGAAGTATATCTACCGAATACCGTAGTGTGGTATATCTATGGATGGAGATTGCCGATTATCGAACATCTAAAGTTTAATGATTATTGTGAAAATTCAAAATTCTGCCCCACGTAAAGTAAATTTGTATTTAAACCACACCCTACTAAATAAAAATTAGGTCATGCAGCACTTTTCCTTCAAAACCACCGACAGAAATCGGCTCGCGGCTAAAAATCAGTTTCAAACAATAAGCCATACACTCGCTGCAAATGATAAGAATGCACCAACTGTTTTTTTTTTAATTTGTCACATGAAAGAAATCAACGTTCCTTGCTATTTCGCGTGTACTAATTTGGAGATTGCATTCTTTGAGATAAAGGATTTCCACCCTACAGTGACGATATGGTAAATAAGTATCATGTCAGATTACTGTAACGACTGTTCCATAGTGATATGCTGACCTACACTAACAATGACTGATGTATTGTTGAATTAATTTATTGAACTGCACACCGTTTGTGTGATTGTCTCATACAAAGTTTAAATGTTGAAAAAAATAAACGAATACTATAGTTTGGCTGTTAATAAACACCCTAAATCACATTTAATCTAATCTTACAAATAAACAACACGTAAGCAAAAAATACAAATAAAATACTGATGCTGCTGAATACCAGCTGATTGAATGCGGCGTTGCGGGTAGTGTTCCTATACCAGGGCCGGAATTGAATTTACCTTTACTTTCAACTACTTTTTCATATTTTATAGTGCTCTCTAACCTCGTGCAAGCTCGGTACTTATTTCTGTTACACCCTGTATTCCGTGAAAAGCACGCAAACCACTTATAGACTCCGAACCGTTTAATGTTTTTCTTTTGCCCGGTCCGACACAGGAATGTACTATATCTCTAAAAGCTTTAAGGCCCGGTGCACACTTGCGGTGAGACGCGTGTCGTATGCAATACCACGAAACCTGGCAGCACTCCTCTGCCTATCGAGAAGTGTAGATTTGCCACAACGTCGTATCTCCTTTCAAACTTATGGAAGTCTCTCAACACAATGTCTGATAAAAACGAATAAAAAACAGTCTGATTGGGAAAATATTTATGTAACCTCTACCTGTTGTGTGGATAAACCCGGTACTTTTATTTTATAATTTTGATATGACGATTTATGTACTATATATACGAAAAACAACCTTTAACCATTTGGACCCATGTACGATCCAGTCAGTTGGTGACAAATGGGAAACTGTGACACTAGCCTATCACAATGAAATGTACATTGGCACTTCGATAAGACGTACTCTGAATTGACACAGCAAGGATGCGCTTTAATGATTAGTTCCCTTTCTTGTTTTAATTTACAAATTGCAGCAAAATGCATTCTTGGACTTAGTTAGATTATAGTAAGGTATGATTTTCTAATTTGTTTGTATGGGAGGTTTAGGTAGGATTAGGTTAGGTTATGGATGAAATGATTCCCCTAATTAATATGCTATGCATCATGGCTTTAAGTTAGATAATGGTGAAAAAGTATTCCGTGATCGACTTGTATGAAGTACTGAGTATTGCAAATTATATGTTACATATGCATTAAGTAAGGTCATGATGGGAGAGAATGACATATTACATAAAGTGCTGTGCACCATGGGTTTTGTTAGGCTATAGTTTGCTCGCGTTGGTATCCTAAATACTTGCCAAAGATCATCGACGACCACATGAAACTATCGTAATATTTCTATTCCTCGGGAACAGCATTTTTTCTTATCACAAACTCACATTGGCATTTATAATATTAGTTAGAATTATCATTTGGTACTACAATCACACAAGGAAAGAACGATTAGCCTATTCAAAATTATTTAAAACTTTAATATTAGATTGAGTTATGGTTTCGAATAGGTATCTAAGAAGTCAGATACGTCAGGACGGAAGGAGTAGTAGGGATATAAAGGAGAGGATAACGCAGGGTCGAGTCGCCTTCAATAAAAAGAAGTCACTTCTTTTCTCGCAAACGCTTAATTTAGAAATTCGAAAAAGGTTGTTAAAGGTGTATGTTTGGCGCACGGGGCTGTACGGATGCGAAACAAAGACAGTGGGCGCGGCGGAAAAGAAAAGGTTAGAAGCGTTCGAAAAGTGGTATTACAGGCGAATGATGAGGATACTGTGGATAGAAAAGGATAGAAATGAAGAGGTATTACAAAGAGTAAGAGAACAGACGACTCTATGGAAGTCAATAAGTAATAGGCGAGTTAGGTTAGTAGGACACCTCTTCAGGCATGAAGGTCTAGTCAGAGCCATATTAGAGGGAGAAATGGAAGTTAGGAGGGGTAGAGGTAAACCTAGATTAGATTACTGTTCGCAAATAGTTAAGGATGTGGGTTGTTCTAGCTTTAGGGAAATGCGAAGATTAGCGCAGGATAGGAAAGAGTGGAGGTGCGTGTCCAACCAACCTTAGGACTGACGATCTTATGATGACGATGATGATGGTTTTGGACTGACTTTTATTTCGGATATCCGATAATTTCGGTCACGACTACGAACCTCTATAACATCCTTGCTATAGACTAAGGATTTAAGTTAAATTATGACGGGAATGATTTTCCTGATTGGCATATATAAACCACCATGCACTATCAACAACAGTACTAACCCGTCCAAATTTAGACGGGTTTAACTAGTAACAAATGTATAGATTTTTCTTTAAAACCTGCTCTTGTGAATTTATTGTTTGCGATACCGTAAGTTGAAAAACAGTTTGAGACTGCCCATTTGTTTATTGTTATTTTGGAATGGTTATAATCCCTTTTCCCTTCTCCCACCTTAGGTAGCAGTGACTGTAAACTTACTGCAATAGTATCATTAAGCACATTGCATGTGCTGCAGATTTTCCCTGCTATTAGGTGGCATATATTATTGTCGTTAATATAGTCAGCAGTAAATCAAACATGTTTAACCCCTGTCTACGTGTTCATGCGTATTCAATTTGCGTTGTAAACCTTAATAAGGGTTGCCGGGGAAGAGCGATAGACCTCGACAAATTTTGATTTATGTTAGTTACATTACGTATGATATATTTCCATTAAATAACTAAATGTGAAACGGCATCGAAAGCACACCTGTAAACTCGGTTTTTTCAATGGTACGGTGGGGACATACATTTTTCAATATCAAAACTACTTGGGAGGCAAAAAATCTATTATGGAAGAAGGGATGGATCTCTAACTGATTGAAATGTGTTGTACAAGTCTACAAAATTAAAAGAACAAAGAACTACTTTAACATAGAACATTGTCAATCACACTTAATCTACTCTAGCAAATAACAAATAATTCATGAGTACAAAAACACAAAAGAAAAATAGACTGCTAATTATCAGCTAATTGAATACGACGTTGTATTGTCGCATTTCTTTCCAGAGCCGGACTGATACGTTCCTGTACGTTTAACTACGTTCTTCTAGAAAACGATGAACTTATAGACATATAGTAATAATTTACGTAATTTTATAACTAAACAATTAAGAAGCCTCAAACCTAGGGGTGAATCGCTGGGTAACATTGTTAAGTAATTATCATTATCATCTATATTACCTGAAAATAGTTCACAATAGTTCTTTCCCGAACATGTTTTTGTTCAGGTTATTTCTTAAAGTGACGGCACATTTTCATTTCATTTGTCACATTTCACATGTTTTTTGGAAATTTAACAAGTGTTCCCCATCAAAATGTCGAAATTTGGTAGAATTTGTGAGATTTCGAGAGCTTCAGACTCTTGAGCCCCTCCCGCTTGATACGTGCTAATTGGAATGTATGTATAAAATTTACTAATTATGTTTATTGTTTAGAAACTGCAATGGGTGTTGCTGTGAACGCCATGGATAAGCCAAACTCTGAATATGTTTCTGCAGTTTATGGGTAAGTTACAATTTACGCTCTTGAATGAAAGATTTCTATGTAATTATTACACGTCTGGATAATCTTCCAAGATCTTGGTCCTATTGAATCATATATTTAATCACCCAGACTGTAAACTTATATAAAAACTCTGAAATTTTTCTCGTCAATATTCTTGGATAAGGCCAACGTTTCGCTCCTAGGTTGGGAGGTTTCTCAAGTATCTTTTACATAATTAATAACCAATCAAACATAATTAAAGTTAAGTTAACAAAGTTTAATACAGAAATACTTGCATTTGCCTAGCTTTAAGTATGTACGAGGGTGGATTGATAAGTTTCCGGCCTAACCAAGAGATGACGCCACTAGGCCTACCTTGAGGTGACATTCTATAGTACCATCCTTGGATAGCTTGTAGCTATAGTTTCAGCCCGATCTCCTTGCTAGTGTAGGTTTGACAGCACGCTGAACAAGACGCCTCTGTGGTTTTCGTAAAAATGGAAAAGCAGGAAAATCGTGCTGTCATCAAATACTTTTATTTGAAGGGGTTAACGCCGAAGGAAATTAAAATAGAGATGGACTCAACACTGGGGACATCCTCCCCGTCATATTCAACCGTTAAGCAGTGGGTTTCCGAGTTTAAAAAGGGTCGTGTGAGCACCTCTGATGGGCCTCGCTCAGGACGCCCCGTTGAGGTCACAACTCCAGATATGATCGAAAAAATTCATCAAATAGTGCTGGGAGACCGCAGATTGAAAGTGCGTGAGATAGCTGAGACCTGTAAGATGTCATATGAACGTGTGCAACATATTTTGCACCAACATTTGCATATGGAAAAGCTCTGTGCAAGATGGGTGCCGCGTTTGCTAACAGTCGACCAAAAATTGATTCGAAAAAACATTTCTACCGCAAATTTGTCATTGTATAAGCGTAATCCAAGCGAATTTTTGCGTCGATTCGTAACCGTTGACGAAACGTGGGTCCACCACTACACTCCTGAAACCAAAGAACAGTCTAAACAGTGGATTGGACCAGGGGAACCAACTCCAAAGAAGGCAAAAACAATTTTTTCGGCGAACAAGGTTATGGCTACTGTTTTTTGGGATGCAAGAGGTATTATATACATTGATTACCTTGCAAAGGGTAATACTATCACTGGTCAATACTACGCAGACTTATTGCAACGTTTGAGCCACGAGGTGAAAATTAAACGACCTCATCTGGCGAAGAAAAAAATCTTGTTTCATCACGATAACGCACCAGCGCACACGTCAATCGTTGCGACGGCTAAAATCAACGATCTAAAGTTTGAATTGATGCCGCACCCTCCTTACTCTCCAGACCTAGCCCCGAGTGACTATTTTCTGTTCCCTAATCTCAAAAAATGGCTTGGCGGTAAGAGATTTGCGGACAATGAAGAAGTAATCGAAGCTGTAAATGGTTATTTTGAGGAGCTTGACGAATCAGTCTATAGAGATGGCATTAATAGACTGGAACACCGCTATGAGAAATGTATCAGCCTTGGAGGAGATTATGTTGAGAAATAAAAAAAAAAAATTTTTAAAAACCTTGTTTTTCTTGGTCAGGCCGGAAACTTATCAATCCACCCTCGTATAATGCAAATCAACATACGTCTTGGCTATTATAATTGTTAGATAAGGTCTGATAAATAATTCAAATCCGGTTGTAATTGAAGACCTGTTAAACAAATAAAAAGTTTTTATAATATGAAGATTGGAAAAGCTTTGGCGGTTGTTGTAGAATAAACAAAATAACTCAAACCTCAAACACGACACTGTAGTTGTCCAAAGCACTTTTCGGTAACAAGGTTACTATAGTTCACTTCAGTCCCTGAAGAAGGTAATCTTGTTACCGAAAAGTGCTTCCGACAACTACAGTGTCGTGTTTTGTCGTTGGGTTTTGAGATATTTTATAATAATTTATTGTAATTATGAATTTAATCGAGCAACTACTGTTGTGTATTTCCGTATTCACCTTTGCTAACTTAACTTTAAGGGCCCTTTCACACGGGCTACTTTTTGTAGAAATCTACTGTTTTCAATTGATGCTTTCACACAAGCGCAGCGGTTCAAAAACGTAGCGCTACAGTCGCTGAACTGTAACGATATTCGCTTGAATCGCGCGGCTAACTAGTCGCGCAGTTGTTGCGCTTCACTAAGAAAAACAAAAAAAGTTAACGCTTCCACACTGGCGTATTTTTAGTAGTGCGACAGACCGATGATGGACAATGTCGACAACGAAAATTTCATAATTTCAAAGACTGAATTTGGAATGGCTGCAATGCAGACTGTATAAGGAAGAGCATAGAAAGAAGGAATGGCTGAAAAGCTTTTTTTTATTTCGACGTAAATCTTGGAAATATGTATAGAAATCCGTTTTTCAATCAATTGCTGTTGTAAGGATCGATCCAATATTTCCGATTCTTTATACTCTTTTTCTTTATTTTAATTTATCAAAAGCACTAATAAGGTAAGCTTCTCTTGGTCTTCTTCTGCGACTTCATTTTAATAACTGTTCCTTTAAATTTGAATTAGATACGTTGCTACATCGGCTAGAATATCGAAGCGCTGCAAAAAATCGCTCTTTATAAATACGAACTGGCAACTGTCGCGCTGCTGTACCGCAACGGAAGCGCTGCAAAATGTAGCTCGTGTGAAAAGGCTCTAATTATGCCTGATTGGATATTAATCAAGTAGAGCCTTGAGAAAGCTTCCAACCTAGAAGCGAAATGTTGACCTAATTTGGCAATAAATTCAACAATATTGACTAGAAAAACTTCAGACTTTTCATCAAGTTTTTTTTCAAATATTTTGTTGAACTCCTTATACCTAATTCCTTGTAATTATGTATATATCGCTTGACCTGAAGATAAAAATACGCGAAACTACAATTATTTCCAACAAACGACTTCACGACAGAAATTTTAATCTACCAATTATGGTAATACAGATTCAATAATATTAACAATATCTCATTATTGTGCTTTGAGAAGTTGAAGCCCATTTTTGAAATTGTCTTGCCGACAATTGGCATTTACCGTTTGAGTTTTTGACTAAAATCGTTTTATGAGGTCGCTTACGTCGTTGAACAGGTGCAATTACTGAAATGGAAGAAAATAAATTTGTATAAAGCACTTTCAACAACCCTCGGATTTACTCGTTTCCTGCGTTAAAAGCGAGACTGGCACTGCGCCAAAGAACGATGCTCGATTATTTCTTGATTCTCTGAAACGTTCACAAGGCTTAAAAACAAAAATTCCTCGTAAAACGTTGTAATTTTTTACATCTACTACTGCTTAGGGGTTGTCCATAAATTACTTACCACAAAAATCATCGATTTTTGAGTTCCTCCTTCCCCCACTGAGCAGGACAATAATGCCTGACTTAAATCCCGCTCTCTCTCTTTCCAATTTTTAAATAAACAATTAGAATGTCTAATCAACATTAAGGGGTAAACGTACCAGATCTACACCCGATCTATATAATTATCGGACTAGTATTGTGGCCAACTTACTGATTCTAAAATCATTACGCAACGCAAACTTTGACCCCTGAAGGGAGGTAGTGTCGGATTTTTACCGACTAAAACCCCTCCTCGAGTGGAGAGATAAACCCTGAGGGTTACTTATCCCCGGGAAGAGACTGAAAGGTTGAGAAGGAAAAATGGTTAAGCGTGGGGGGTATTGGGGAGGGGGANTGAGGGTAGGGGGGGAAGGAGGGGGGGGGAGAACCGTCAAAGTAGGTGGTCCACCTCTGAAGTAATGGGTGGACACTCGCGCTAACAAGCGAAGCTAGGAGCCAGGCAAGCACAATCGCCTACAGTAAAAACGGAACGTAACTTTCCTTAACACCTTATTTTATCTTCTTCGTATATATTACGCCGAATACGTATAATTACGAAATTATTTCACTTAAACTTGATCCAATAGGGCACGGGTTTGAGACTCCTAAACTTCTATCATCATCATACTGTATAAAAGAAGTATTATCAATATTGAATCAGAATTACCCTCGAAGTTTGCTCTTAATTTTTGAATACGTGTTTATAAGAAAATAAGAGTAATCATTATATACCTACCGGAAATATCATGACTGAATATCATTATTTCGAAAAAAGTTTTTGATAAAAGTTGCATGTTTTCAAAGGGGCGATCAGCAGGCGATCTTGAGTATGACCTTGATCTTAATTGATTTGTTTTAATTTTTCATAAATACCTACTGAACAATAAAAAGTAAATCAGCATCACGGATATTATTGATTTCAAAATTTCCGCTCTTTTCATTAAAAAATGAAGTTCAAGGTCACCAATCAATTGTTTCCTCTAAAAAACGTATAGCTTTTTAATTTTTTTAATGAAATTCAATCAAGAACTTTCGTACGTTTGATTTTTTTTAATTTTTCAGGTCAGTGTTATGTTTAAGATCCAAATTGATTTCTCCTTCGAGAAAGGCTTTGTAAAACCTTTTCCCGAAATAATAGGATCTAAATAAGACATTTGATAACCTGAAGATTAATAACGCACCTATTATTCGCATATGATTAGAACCACCCTAATCTACATATTATCATCATCATCATCGTCAGTCCTAAGACGGTTGGACACACACCTCAACTCCTTCCTATCCTGAGCTAATCTTCGTATTTTCTACATCCTTAACTATCTGCGAATAATAATCTAATCTAGGTCTACCTCTACTTCTCTTAACTCCCAACCAACCTATTTCGCATATTTTTCATTGACTTCCATCGAGTCCTCTCTTCTCTTACTCTTTTTAATACCTCTTCATTTCTAACTTTCTCTATCCACGGTATCCTGATCATTTGCCGGTAACACCACATTTCGAACACTTCTGTTTTGTACCCGTACAGAGCCGCGCTCCAAACTTACGCCATTAGCAATCTTTTTCGAATTTCTAAATTAATCGTTCGCGAGAATAGAAGTGACTTTTTTTTATTGAAGGCGACTCGACCCTGCGCTATCCTCTCCTTTCTATCCCTACTACTACTTCCTAGATACCTAAAATCAGCCACTTCTTCTAGTTTTCATCTCCTATCTTTATATTCGCTCTTTCTCCACTGTTTCTTCCCTTGCTTACCAGTATTTTTGTTTTACTTTTATTTATTTTTATTTTTATCTAGATATTATGCAAATAAAAAGCGCCACTCTTATAATTAGATATATTCATTCATCTTTAAATATTAAGAATTTATACCTTTATATCTGAAGTTTGAAGAGTACCAGGACGCTTAATTTCTCGTAAATTGGCTGTTCGTTATCCCACTATTATGTTCCGTACTAAACAACAGACTGCAAATTAAACAAGATTTAAGGGCGCTACTAAAATTAGCAGGAAAACGCCCTTATACAGAATGATAAACAGCTACATTATAACATATACACTACATAAGAGGGAATCTCTCAAAACAAAATTTATATACGCGCTGTGTAATATAAGAGCATAAAATATTTTACTGCCCGGATATTAAGCCACTTCCACCATCTGAAAAAAGAGTATGCACAACGTTGTGAAAGAAAGGCCCATGCACACGAACGTACATAACTTGATACATGTATGTGCATTCCTCAACTGCATTCAGTAACTACTTATAATCTGTAGTCGAATTTTTTGACCCTAAAAAAAAGTTGTTTTTTGCAATTTGTTTAAACAATCATGATTTAACCAACCGGTTTACCGACTGGCAAGCTACATCGCTGTATTCAGGAGAATATTCCGAACAAAATTGCGTAAAAACATTTAATCCGAAAATCTTTCCCACTCACTGGCCCATATTGTCTGGACTAAGAGGATCGCCTGAGAGTAATATTCCACAAATGGTCTTTCAGTCTTTTTCCATTCCATTATGCTCTGCCTGCTTACCACCAACCATCCGTTTCCACGATTTTTCAAAATGGTTGAAGAAAGCCTCCTCTCCTATTCGTCCTATACGCTACCCTGCTGCACAATTTAAGTCGAGGCGGAAGTACACTCAAAAGCATTAGCTGGTGGTAATAAAGCAGAATAAAATTTAATGTGCAAACCTGAAAAACTATCGTATATGTTCTGCAAATGTAGTTTTGGAGGAATACTGAGCGATGTAATGATGTAAAGGTCAGATCCCAGCTTTCCAGTGAAATATTGGGAAGGGCTCTGGTTCGATTCCGGATCTGACTGCTTTGATCCGGTTTAAAAAAAATAAATAAAATATTTTTCTGTGCTATGAAATCGTAATTCTTATCGTTATCTTTACGTTAAAGTTTATCTTCACTTACACCTGCACATACTTCTTACTAACAGCTGGTTTTCTCTTTATCCAAAATTCTTGTCTTCACTTTACTGCCGATATTTCCATCTAAACAATTATTGCTATGGATTGTATATCAGCAATCTTCCCAAAAAATTAAATTTAAAGTAATCTACACCATTTCATCCATTATGGTTAGATTAAAGCCTAGCGTTCCGATGGTCAGCCGTTCCAAATTTCTGAGGTTTCCATGGACCGTGTAGGCAAATGCTAGAGTAACAATATTCCACAAATGGTCTTCCACTATTTTCTATTGTTTTCAACTCGTCCGTCTTCTTGATCTCTCCCTCATCACCACACCCCACTCTTTGCCACGATTCCTAAATAAGGATGAAGTGCGTTTTCCGCTTTACCAACCTGTCCAGCATTATAAGATCAGACATATTAAAGCTTTTTTAATTGAAACCTGATATAGGTGGATATATACGATATGTTCCAGCCGAAAAGAAATTATCGATAAAAATCCTTTAAAGGAATTTTCATTTCTTATAAAGAAAAGTCGGACATTTGAATTTGTTTGTAAAATTTTGAATTTTCACAATAATTCGCGATTTTGAGAACTGTTGTTGTTGTTATTGGAGACTTGTTTGATTTTTTCGGTAACTAAATACAACCACCCGTAAAAAGTAAAGCGCCTTGGAAATACCTTAATGGTGAAGTGTAAATTTTCCTAAATAAAATTTTCATTATCCCGATTACGCTAATCTTTACGTAACTTAATTTTTTTATTTCTTTTGTGTTATTACATGTACATAGTGCTGCCTGTAATCTACTTATTTAGTTTATTTACTCTAAACATTATGTTTAGTACTAAATCGTTTATATTTATCTTAAAAATTTGATTATCGGTAATGTTTGCATTCTCGATCCATGTAACTGCAGAGTTTTTATCTCACTACGCTATTCCGTAGACACTTATGTTGCTTATCCACGCACAGGATTGTAAATCATTGTAATATTTTTAAAAGTTTTTTGCCCCTAAATATATTGCTGAACTCACCGTGCGACTGTTTATTGCATTTAGTTTACATCCTCCAAAACTCGACACTTTTTTCTGTTACCCCCAGTATGTATAAACTCTAAAGACGATTTATTTTAAGCATCCTAATTTCTCCTACCTTAAGCATAAGTATATAAGTCAGCCGCATATTAGCTGAAGTATGGGGTACTACTGCATTATAAATAAAAAATTAAATTATTTATTATTTCAGAATAAGCAAATTGGCAACAGACAGAGCATTTTTACCATGGTATCATTCCGATTTTATTTTCTACCGAACTGCAATGGGCAAACAATTTTTAAAATACGTAAACATCCTCCATGGATTTACAGAAAAGGTATTATAATGTTATATTACGTTTAAATTGTTCGTACCAGTATTAAATAGGTAATTTTTACAATTAGTAAGCATTTCTGTACAATAATAACATTGAATAAATTAAAGCTATGTTACATGACGGGTGGATCGACAATTCAAGCGCGGCGTGTGTGCGTGTTCTCAACCCATTATACCCCTGTTACATAACGCGTGGATTACCGCTCTGTTAAGTGCCATCTACAGTAGGAAGGCGCTTACTAGCGAATTTTTTGGCTCCTTTCCGCAACGGCAGCGGGAGCGTGGAATACCCATCGAAGTTCTGTTGGTAAATGTTATAAATATTTTCGGGTGAGATTTGATAACCGTAGGCGCATTTCTTTTGACATATACCTACAATGCTCGGAAAAGAACGCGCCAGGACGTTCCTTCGTACTCCATTCCAAACTGATCCTGTTACACGGAGCGTGGATTGAGGATGCACGCTCCGAGTAACAGGGGCATAAAGGTCACAACACGCGGCGCGTGGAGCGTGGACCGACATTCCGTGCACTCGCTGCCGCCGGAAAAAAAAGACATAGAAACTGCTAGGACGCGTTTGACAATCCACGCGCCGTGTAATAGGGGCTTTACATTGCCAATATGTTTCTGCTTGCGTCAGGTGATTAAAGAACGAAAAGGAAAATTGGCCGACACAACAACAGATCAAGAAATCCACGAAGATGAAGAATTCATAGGTAAAAAGAAAAGGAAGGCTTTTCTTGACATGCTTCTGGAAGCGTCGAAAGGCGGTACAATAATGAATGATTTGGAGATCCGACAGGAAGTCGATACATTCATGTTCGAAGTAATTATTTTTTATCCATTTGTTGTTTATAACGATTGACACAACCATGTCTTTTAGGGTCACGATACTACAACTGCTGCCATCTGCTGGACATTATTCCTAATTGGAAATAACCCAGACATTCAGGTAAGAATCTATTACGACAAGACAGACTGATTCTTAAATGCCCTTATAAAGATTTATATATGTGCTTAAATTTTTACGAAGTAGTGAAGTGCTACTAAATCCTTTTTTCTCATATTTAACTGGAACTTTCTATTTCATTTCTATATCGTTAAACAAAAAGCAGCAATAAGCGGCTATAAACATTATGGTGACATTTTGTTGTCAGTTACGATAAAATTGTTGAGAGATTGCGTTTACAACATCAACCATCCTATTTACTTGATTATATTTCTCCTGTCAGATTTCGGATCTGACCGAAAAACTAATTTCATGGAGAAAGGGAATCTTAAAAAGACACCCAGCTGCCGGTGCAGCTGGTTCATGTTGGATTTACTGTAGAAAGTACATCCCTATTAAAACCACTCCCTTCAAGTCTTCATAGGGTCATGGGGTCCTCTTCAGCCCTATGTTCTTAGTACTCTTAGTTATTCAAGTACAGTGAACGTAAACTAAACCAAGTTTGGATGCTAATTGTCATATGTCATTAAAGGATTGGTCAATAATTTCAGTGACATATATTTAATTTATGTAGTACCTCATCATCATCATAAGGTCATCAGTCCTAAGACTGGCTGGACACGCACCTCCACTCTTTCCTATCCTGAGCTAAACTTCGCATTTCCCTAAAACTAGAACAGCCACATCCTTAACTATTTGCGAGGAGTAATCTAATCTAGGCCTACCTCTACCCCTCCTAACTCCTGTTTCTGCCTCTAATATGTCTCTGACTAGACCTTCATGCCGGAGAAGGTGTCCTACCAACCTATCTCGCCTATTTTTTATTGACTTCCATAGAG